AAAAAAAAAGAAAACATTACATGCAAGGCCGGCCCAATAGCTCGACCATGACTGAGACTGGGCATGGTAGTGCGCGCCTATAATCCCAGCACTTGTGAGGCTGTAAACAGGAGAATCACTATGAGTCCGATTTAGTAGTGAGACCCTGAACACCCTGTAGACCCTTCTTTAATATACAGAAAAAAAAAGAAGAAACCATTACCTGATGCAGCATGGGAAACACAGACTTCAATTTTATACCAGGACAGGAGCCCGGGAGATGGCTCAGTCGAATAAACACTTCCCTGGCAAGCACAAGGGCCTGAGTTCAATCCCCAGTTCCAAAAAAAAAAAATGAATTTTATACCAGGACAAAGTTCATATAATTGTAAAAAAAAAAAAGTTTCACCAACACTGTACCTAAATAAAGTTGCCAACAAATTAACATTTATGTATGTCGCAGGCCTGAGCCACAGGAATAAATGACTCTATAATAATATGCTATATATTTTATCAGAAAAAAGTAGTTATACAGAAAAATAGAATGGCTTATGTGATATAATTATTAACAAAAATTAAAATTTTATTGAAGTAAGAGGCCTATGACAATACTCTATAAATATGTTATGTACATCATTAAAAGCCCTAGTGAGTTTACAGAAACTTAAATTTATGTAATCAAGGCTGTTCACACGTAGTTACTCGTGGACAAGTTTCTTATTTGGGACATCTAGAAATTGTCTTTTTTGGTAAATAATAAGACCACAAATATTTAGTCTTTATTATAAGGAATAGTCTAACTTAACCATATAATTAGATTATACAACTTGAGAAACAAAGATATAATGAGGCAAACTTTAGATGTGGGAAAATATAGTAATTAAGAGCATAAGTTCTGGAGGCATGAGACCTGATTTGGAATTCCATAAGTTAGAAGTTACTATTAGCTATGTGATTTTTATCTAGTTAATTAACCTGTCTTTAACATGACTAAGATGCATAATGGTATTGTAATGGTACCTTTCTTATGAAGTCATGATCTTTGAATAAGACAATTCAGTTGAATCAGACAATATTTGCATAGAAAAGGTTTTTGCATAGAAAAATTTTAATAAGTGTTCTCATATTGTGGTCATCAGCAACATCGAAGGAAAACAACATTAAAAAATTAAAGGCTTTAAAATCATTTTGTCTGTATGAAAATACAACATTGCAATTATCTCCCATATTCCCTGAGTGTCAGAAATAGTAAGGAGCTTAAAGATATTCACATTCACATCCCTTTTTTTTTTGCATGAAGAAACAGAAGATCATGACAATGACATGAGATATTCAATAACACACAGCTAGTTAAGAGTAAAAACCCAAAATTCCTGACTCCATGCGCAGGAATCTCTCTATGATATCATCACAGCCACTCCAACTCACTCCTGCCTTAAATTAATTGATTTTTAGCAAGTGAGGTTGTAGTACAGAAGACACAAAAATAAAACATGTTACTCTTCATTGAATTTACTGATTTCAACATGAAATATTTACATGTTTTATAAAGATGAATGATGGGGCTGGAGAGATGGTTCAGTGGTCTAAAGCACCTACTTAGAACAAGCTTGGCAAAGCATCAGGGACTGCGGTTCAATCCCCCAGCACCACATGCCAGCCAGCCCCGCCCCCTGGTGGGCTGAGCTGGCCACACACACACACCACTCTCTCTCTCTCTCTCTCTCTCTCTCTCTCTCTCTCTCAAATAAATAAAAAAAAATAAAGATGAATGATGATGAAAAGTAAAGACATATATAGGTTGTTATGATGGAGGTTTGAATTCTTATTCCTGTAGTACCCTTAAAATTAAAACACCATCTTTATTCATTCTTGAACATTTTTTTTTTTTTGGCGGAACCGGGGATTGAACTCAGGCCCTTGTGCTTGCCAGGGAAGCACTTGTTCTACTGAGCCATCTCCCCGGCCCCTCATTCTTGAACATTTTTGTCACTTCCTATGGAAGAGGCAGAATGACTTAATTATGATCATGCCTAAATATAGATACCACTGAAAGTATCTTCTATCATCAAGATATTGTTCATTTAAGAAATTCATAATCTCATGTAATCTAATTCTAGAGAAGTTCAGGGAGAAAAAAAATTTTTGGCAAGTTTCTATAATCAGTAAATCAGGTAAGCTTCCCACTCCCTTTATTTTTAATAAGAACTCTTGCCCTTTATATAGAGATTAATTTCATTTATTTTATATATTTATTCTTAGTGCACATTGGTTATACAAAATAATGGATTTACACCCTTATGTTCTGACTTAATCCATAATACTGAAACTTAAATTCACACCCTTTACTCTAAATCATCATCTTGATTTTTTAACTTTTGAAGCTATTTCATATATGTTGTAATATTTAGTGAGGATAGCTTAAGAGAAGCCACACAGGTCTAGATGATCAATTCCAATAGTAAAAGCTCAAGAACAATTAGAAACAAGTACACTACAATCTGTGGAGTTAATGTACCAGCTTCTCAAATGTAAAATTAAAGAATTCCTTCATATTAGAGCCAAACCAGTTTTTCCACAAATGTATTTGCCCTTTAAATATGGATATTAGCTTTTGCATAAAGTAACCCTGCCTATATTAGCACTAATAAATGTGTTACAGTACAATGTGCATGTATGCATGCAGATGTATGTGCATGTGCTTATTTGGGTTAATATGTACAAGTGGATAAACTCTAGTAAATTCTTTACCATAAAAACTACTCTACATGGCTAATAAGGTTTATCAGGCTTTGTTTGCTGGTGTCTCAGATTTGCATTGGTTAAAGGGAAGAAAAAGAAACCTTACTATTTATAAAGTACCAAGTACTACCTTCTGAGCACATGAAGTATCTTTTTAGAATGTTACTGTTATTAGCTCCAGCCTAAAAAGGCTGAAAAATTTAAAGTAGCCTTTAGTGGTGCAGAGGAAAACACATTGGTGGAGGATACATAATTGTGCCTTAGTTATTTTCTCTTCACTGAGACCAAATACCCAACACCTGCGATTTAGGGAGGAAAGGTTTATTTTAGCTAATAGTCTATAGAGGTTTCAGTCCATAGTGGGCTGGCTCCAAGTCAAGGTAAACATGGCAGAGGGACATGGCAGGGGTTCATGGTGGTGGCTTCTTTCTGGTATGGCAGATATCCAATTATCCCTTATAATTCAGTCACTTCCCAAAAGTGACTGACCCCTCATGAGTGCAGAAGGCCTTGGCAGGGGACATCTGATATAAATCATAACAAATTGGCACAGCCTTTTGGAAAATCAATTGGTCATTATCTATTAAAATGAATAATGTGGGGCCGGGGAGATGGCTCAGTGGAATAAGCGCTTCCCTGGCAAGCGCAAGGGCCAGAGTTCAATCCCTAGTTCTGCAAAAAAAAAAAAAAAAAAAAAAAAAAAAAAAAAATCAATAGTGCACAGAACCTGTGCTCTAGAAATCTTACTTTTTGTAGGATTCTAAAGAAACACCTTGCACAAGATCTTCACTGTAGCATAGTCAAAAATCTGGAAATAATATAAACCTTGATTAGTATTGAAATGAATAGGCTACCAAACAAACACAGTACACTATTTTAAAATGATGATATAAGATATATACTTAGGATATAATGGAAATATTAACTTGCAGAATAATAAAATTAACATTAGTATCGATATATTTGTATAAAGGCACCACTAGCTGACAGTAATAGTTATTTCTAAGCAAATGATGTTAGTGGAAGGAGAATAGTTCAGGAAAGGCTTTTACTTTGTCTACATTATGTAGATGTAAAAATTTATTTTAAGAGTGTACTCGTGTGTTACGTATGCAGAGCACACCTTTCTTTTCTGGATCCCTGAAACTATATTTCTTGGATCTTTGGACCAAACTCATGATTGTATCTATAATCACTTTCCTAAACTGAAGAACATGTACCTATTTTGTTTACAATTTTTAATTATCTTCATCTATCTGAGAAATTCTCTTTGGCTACCAGCTGAAAATCTAGGGACAGATTCAAAATTTCCTAGGAATATGGAACCTGTAGTATTGCTGTTGATCTCAGAGGAGGGGGAGGATGGAAATGTTACAAATTAAACAAGATAAATAGCATGCTGAACATGTGACAGTCTGAATAAAAGCAATGTCCTGTTTTAAGAAAACATTTCATTTACATTTTAGCTATGCTCCTGTATTAGTCTGTTAGTGTTTCCCTTATAAATCAGTGATTCTGATTTTAAGAATTATTCTCTTTTAAAGAAAATATATTTTTATCTGTGGGGAAATATTTTGGATTTATTTCAATCAGCTATAAATTATAGCAATATATGAGGAAATTGACTGATGCTATCAATGCTACATACTCATAAAACTATGCGGGTTTGATGATATAGTGAAAGACATGAACAGTGCCAAAATAATAATATGACCTTTTTATCTAGCAATGACTAGAAATTAAATTGTTTTACTTTTATGGATCACTTCTCAGTCAGAATCTACTCTTTGGTATTAAACTAGTACCAGATGAGAAAAATCATAGTTAAAATACAAAATGATATAATCTTAGAGCAACTGTTTTAGTCTTATATGGGTCTGAGAAGATTTATACTAAATGTATTTATTTTACAAAAGTTTACATTTTGCTAATCACAGGCATACAGCAGTGGAGTATATGTAAGCATAGTTCTCAAGGAAGGAGAAGAACAATCTTAACTTTACAAGGAAGATATATTGCTATGGAAATGTTTTAGAAAATATTTTATTATTGGATTACTTGCAAAGGAACAAAGTAATCAAAAATGTGTTCTTTGGAAAGATTGATATCATTTAAGACAGCCTTATATAATGTTCTTACTGCTAATAAGGCTATTATAAAAAATAAAAATACTAATACCTTGAGAACTTAAGATGGCAAAAGACACTGTTCAGTAATAATTTTTGGTTTTTGTTGTCTTTTTTCAGTAATAATTTTTGAACCTTGTTTTCCCTCAACAGGAACTCCATTCTCCAACGCTGAAAATTTCAACTTGTGCCCCAAACAATTTATATATAACACAAAATACTGAACAGGTAAAATAAATTATGGATTACATTAGGTTTTGTTTCCTTTTATATGTCTTGCTTATGTATTTGAACAATATGTAGACCATCATAAGACTATGTTTTTGTGAAATCGAAGGACCAGAAAACAAAAACGTAGATTCTCACATATAAGAATCAGCTCAGGGCTGGGGAGATAGCTTGGCAGTCTGAGCGCCTGCCTGGCAAATGAAAGGACCCAGGTTTGATCTCCAATACTAAACGCAGTGCCAGCCACCGAAACTGGGCATGGTGGTGCATGTCTGAAGTCACAGTGCTGGGGAGATTGAGATAGGAGGATCACTATGAGTCTGAACTGCGTAGAGAGACCCTGTATCAAATAAATAAATTTAAAAAACAGAATCAGCTCAGCATATGAAAGGAATATAAAATGAGGGCCATGAATTTGATTTTTAATTTTATTTTTTATTCAAATTAATTACTAATTATAGTGAAGAATATTTTAGTGAATATGAATATTTTGTTTCCTTGATTTGAAGAGATAAAATCTTGCATAGATTGAGGTAGTCCCTTTATGAGTGATAGTGTTTTATATTTTCATTTGGGAAGAATAATTTGTAAGGTCGTGGACAGCCCATCTCAGAGGTTTATGATTTAAAAGACACACAAAGATCTTCATAGTCTAATAATTGCCCCTTTAATATCTTCTTGAATCTAGGAAGTATGTCGAAAACATATCTACAATGGTAATTAAATAGTTTGTCAAAGAATGTTTGTTTAATTAGCTAGTTTCCATATATCAAGAGGTAAATCCTAAGAAAACTAAACTTAAAACATGCGAAGTTGTTTAGGAGGATAGTACAGGGTTTTTAGAACTTAGAGAGCAGGAAGGATAAAAATTCTGTTTTAAGAAAACAGTCCTTCCCAGATTAGGAGCTATGGTATGCACTTGGATAATAAGGAAACAAATGGATAAAAACTGGTCTCTAGACTTTAAGCCTAATGAAGGAAAGTGAAATTATACAGAATGAATATGATAAGTATCTAAGAGAATTTTCCTATCCATTCCTAATTTGGCCTATAATATTTCTGGGCCATTTATAAACATTTACTGAGTTCAAAGTTTATGCCAGTATTACACAAAGGTGTATTAGGACCATTCCCTATTTTCTAAGAGTCCACAGACTAACATATGTTACTTCCATGATAAACCATACGGTGGAATAAAGATTACTTTTGACTTAGAAATGAAGCCTTAAAAGATCACCAAGACAAAAAAAATTTTTTTAAAAGATCACCAGGACAGAATTGCCTCAAAAAACTAAGGCCAGTTAAACTACATTTCATTACACTGAAATCTAATCAGAAAGTTGTATTTACTGTGTTATTTTTATAATGCAATGTTTTTAAATTGAATATTCAACATATTTAATTTTTTTTTGTGTGTAAGGGTCTATAGGGTCACACTATGTAGATCTGACTCATAGTGATCCACCTGGGTTCAGCCTCCCTCCCAAGAACTGGCATTACAGGCCTGCACCACCAGGCCTAGTCTCAATCACTGTCTCAGTACACCCTGGGGGCAGGGCCAGCACCCGCACCTTGGGGAGCTAACCCTGGTGGCTTTGTCTGCCTAAACAGGCACTTTAATCTGCTGAGCTATTTGGCCAGCCCTACATTTAATGTTCTTTACATGTTTATTTTGGAGAATTTAGAAGTGATAATAAAAATCATTCAATTCCTTGCCTCACTGAGATAATAAGAGGCATTTTATTGTTTTCTTCGATTCAGAAACAAAATCAAATTCATATTATACTTGCAGTTTTATATCTTCAGTTTCTCACTTAAGCTTACATAACATTATAAGCTATTTCATCTAAAATTTTATTACTCAGAATTATTAACAGCTATGTATTTTAGCCTGTATATGGTAATTTTTTATCCTATGCACATCTGTCAGCATTATTACATAAACATTTTCAATGGATATTTTTTACTAGCTCAGATTCCTAGTTTGGTTCAATGCTTTTTAAGTTCATTAACCATTTCCTTTTAAAATTGTGTATGTTATATGCTCATTTTTATTAGTTTTAAAATTAAGGGCCTAGGGCTGGCCAAATAGCTCAGTGGATTAAGGTGTCTGTAAGCAGGCACAGGGGACCTGGGGGTTCGATCCCTGGGCCTGCCATGCAGGGCCCAGCCTAGGGCAAGCTGAGATAGCAATTGAGACTGGGTGTGGTGGTGCACGCCTGTAATCCCAGATCTTGGGAGGCTGTAAACAGGCAGATCACTATGAGTCTGATCTAGTAGTGAGACCCTGAACACCCTGTAGACCCTTCCCTAAAATATAAAAATAAATAAAAAAAATAAAATTAAGGGCCTGCAAGATAGCACAGCAAACTAAGCGCCTGCTTAAGAGAGCACAGGGACAGGGGTTCAGATCCCTGGCACCACATGCCACGCTGGTTCCATCCCTGGGTAAACTGAGCTGCCCACTTAGGCCGGGCATAATGGTAAATTCCTGTAATCCCAGTGCTGGGGAGGCTAAAAACAGGAGGATCACCATGAGTCTAAGCTGATTAGTGAAAACTTGTACCAAATACATAAAAAAGACAAATTAGTGTTAATATTTTTCTCACTGATGTAAAGACCTTTTTCTCTACTAATATTTACTTTTTCCACTAACACATTACAAATGACTTAGTTTCCATGTTTTGTATACATTTAAATTTTACTTTTGGCTCTCCTCTTGCAACACACTAAAGATTTAAATGTTTAAGGGCACACACACATACACATTTTTCTTTGTATCCTATTTTTTAATCATATGGTTGCACTTACAACTGAAGTATTTTGTAACTCTCATCAATTATAGTTCAAAAATATGGTAAATTACTATGAAATTAGTATAATAGAAAAATAACTGGCACAGTGCTCAGCATATAGTGCATATTTTGTAAATATTTCCAAGACTGAAATTAACTAAATTATGAAATCATATATCATCCTTCCTGAAAATGATTTTTAACTTTCACTCTAGAAATTTTTCCCTATTATTACTATTGATGCCTTCAAGTTGACTAAGTAGCTATGATTATAGGTATCTTTTATTTTTTTTAATAGGAACTCCATTCTCCAACAGTGAAAGTTATTACATATCCACAAACCAATATTAGGAGATACATAGTACAAAATCCTGAGCAGGTAAGATATTACATGTACTCTTTCCAACACAGAATTTCTTAGAAGTTAAAAGCTTAAACTGGAAGAGTAAATCATTTATTAGATTATTAAAATCAAATTATTAGACTTTTCTTCTAGTTATAGTATAGATTTCTAATCACTAGTATCAAAAACATCATGTTTAATTGTAGATAGCCATGTATACATCCATTGTAGTATCTATTGTCCTACACATTTTTATTTTAAAACAATGTTTTAATGTCTCCTTAGGTAGAGGAAGCTGCCAGTTGTACATGTGTATCTGAGTGAACCTGTATGGTCACAGAATCTGAGTAGAAGGATTATTGCTTTGGACATTTTTGTGAGAGTTCTTAAAATGCATGTCTTAGTCATTTTCTAGTTGCCAATATCCAATATCACATCTTGAAGGAGGAAAGATTTATTTTTGCTCTCATTTCAGTCCCTTGTTGACTGGTTCCAGGGCAAGGTGATATGGCAGAAAAGTGCTGCATATGCTATGGTGGGCAGAAAGCAGAGCACATAACAGATGATCTAGAAAAGGAGATATAACCTTTTAGGTTATGCTTACAGTAGGCTACCACTTCCACCAGGACCTATTTCCTAATAGCAAGTCAGCTATAGTGTGTCTATAATCCCACCATCTTCCAAAGGTGAAGACTATGATCTCTTTAAAGCTTTTAGAAGGACATGTGGATCTAAATCATAACATTCTGCCATGACCTTGAAAGACTTATGAACACCTCTTTATGCAAATTGCATTTATTCCATCTGTATGAGCTGCCAAAGTTCTACGAGTTTCAGCATTATGAAGCTCAAGTACAAACTCTCTTGTGAGATTTAAGATAAACTATTACCTGTGATTTTGTATAAAAATAAAAAAGAAAGTTAAATATTGCCTACATACAATGACAGAGATAAATTTCCCATTCTGGGGTAGAGGGATCGGATCAAAGCAAGACCAGAAATCAGAAGAGCAAACATTAAATTCTGTTGCTCTTTGTTGGAAAACTAAGGCAAGTCACAGCCACGATATGTGAGTTCCACAAGGCTTGGGTGGTTATGTTCCTATGGCATTACTGATGGCTGTGCACTTTATGACTTCTCCCTTGAGCTAGTTTTGCATACTCATTGTGGCTTCCCTTTGACAATCCATGCTTTTCGTTTCTCCAACATCCTTGGGTCTGCACTGTACTTTGGCTTCATTCTTACAACTTCACATACTACCTTCTCAAGAGCATACTGGCTGGCTCTCAGGCCTTCTGAAATCTAGGTGAAAGCCTTCCCAATTCTACAACTCTTGTATTCTGCATGCCTTCATTCTGCAACACCATGTGGACAATGCCAATGTCTGTTACCAACTTGAGCAGTAGCTAGGGTCCCTTGTAGCATGGCTGCAGAGGTTGCCAAGAGCTTGGATAGCTGAGGAATGTGAACTGAATCCCAAATTTCCTATGTGGCCCTTTGTAAGCAAAGTACCCTGGGGATCTCTTCTGAAAGCAGTCTTACACTTTTGCAAATTTGAGCTTCAAATAATAGGGGCTTGGAGCCAGTGAGATAGCTCAGCAGACAATAGAGCCCTCTTAGGCAAGTTTAGGCAAGCACAGGGACTGTGGTTCGAACCCTGGCACCACTTGCCATGCCAGCCCCATCCCCAGGATGGAATGAGCCTGCCAGATTCTGGGTGTAGGGGCACAGGCCTGTAATTCCAGTGCTAGGGAGGCTGAAACTAGGAGGATTACCACATGTCCGAGGTGCATAGTGAGACAACCAAAATACATTAAAACAACAATCAAATACATTAAAAAAAGAATAGGGCCTTATTAGCTCCTCATGGGCCCTGAATGTATCTTTCTTACTCTTTTGTAAAGTACTTGGCTTCTTTCTATTGCTAATACTTTTACCAACCAAGCTTCCCTCTCCTTCATCTTTGCTGTACTTTCTGCCAAAATTGGAAATATTTAGATGAGCATCTTGCTACTGTTTCCCACAGTAGATGTTTTTTTTTAAAAGCAGCAAACAGTAACCATGTTATTACTTTAATGTTGGGCTACCATGAAATTTCCTCTGCCAGATTAATTAGTTTGCTGACTTTTATCTCAGTCTCCCACAAAGTCTCAGGACATGAGAAAAACGTAGGCAAATTTTCTGCCAGAGAATAACACACATGGACTTGAGTCCAATTGCCAGTGGAGTGCTTACTCTCAAGTGAAATCTTCTTAGCCTGGTCTTTACCATCTGTTACCATTTCTATCACTATTATGTTCTTCTTGAGCTTTGACCAACATTTCTCATCAACCTCCGCCTACAACATCATAGGACTTTTCTCTCCAATATCTCCATACTTTTTGATATGGATTGCTTTTTTGGGTGGGCAGAGGGGCTGGCTCAGGGTGCCTTCAGGGTGGGTCTGGTAAGGCATGAGGATCCGGGGATCAAACCACAGCAACCTGAGCCTGACTGCTTTGTTTAAGCAGTCACTTAAACAACTGAGCTAATGGGCAGGCCCCCTCTCCACACCTTTTGAAATTTCTCCCACTTTCCAAGATTTCTGAGCCACATGGTCAGCTAATATCACAACAATGCTCTCACTTCTCTAATACCAAAATCTGTCTTAGTCACTTTTTTATTGCTGAGACATTATACATGACACCCACAACTTAAAGGAAGATATATTTTGGCTCACATTTCAATTCAGTCAGCTGGCTCCATGGTAGTTTGACATGGCACAGGGGCATGGGGGAGGAAGCTACTCACCGCATGTTGGACAAGGAGAGAGCAGGAAGGAAAAAAGGAGCTATATCATGTTCTACCATGACCATTGTGACCAACCTCTTTTTTTTAGGTCCCATCTTCTAGCAACAAGTCATCTATAATGCCCTTCCATCCAATCCCTGTCCAAAGGTCCCACCTATGATCCCATAAGGCTTTATGTGGACATTTAGATATAAACTATATACCATGTAAAAATACGAAGGTGACTCCATAACAAATAAAGAAGTTCTTTCTTTTCATCAAGAGCTTAATATTTAAGCAACAAATCTAAAAAGTGTAGAGGGGTATATGTGGACACAAAAAGGGGCTGTGAGAACACAGTATAACTCTTTTTCTTATATGATAAATTGCTTTATGCTTTTATTTTTCTCCTCTTCTTTTTTTCTTCGCATACAAACTGGGGGATATGCATACTAAGGTATATGATCCACTTCATACCTCTGGTTTTCAAAGAGTTAATACTGTACTTTTATTCATAATGTAAAAATTGTTATACCTGTCTAGGATATTTTGAGAAATATTAAACATCAAATCATTTGGATTTCAATCTTTGTCATCAAGTCTTATGACTTTAGATGTACCTTTATGTTTTAGTTAATAGGAAAAATTAATATATATTGGTTACATCTCATGTTAGCCAATTTACATATTCCATCCTATTTAATCATTTTTTTAAAGTTGGGAAAATAAAAGTACATAGGTATTCAGTCATATGTTCAGTGAATTTTTATCAACTGCCTACCATACCAGTCAACATTTTATTGGTTGGACCAAACACCTTACATGCACAACATAAAGGAGAAATGTTTATTTTAATTTCAAACATTTTCATCCATAGTTTACCAACTTCAAGGTAGAAATTCCATAGTAGAAAGTAGGTGCTCAACTCATGGCATCTAGGAGGAAAAGTGAAAGAAGTATCCTCCAGTAACCCACTTTCTCCAAAGAACCATGTGTACTACTAGTCCATTCAACTAAAAACATGATGTTAGTGCCTTCATGAGCCATCCACCTCTCAAGTCTCCATATCTGAACGTTGATGCATTGGGGATCAAGGTCTCAATTTATGAATCTTTATGGGATACTTAATATTTAAGCCATAATACCTAATATGTGCCATAATTTTACAGAAGAACAGAGGTAAGAACAGTGAACAAAATTAATGTTCCAAAATTCTCAAAATGTAATTTTTTTTTTTTTTTTGGTGTGTGTGTGTGTGGAATCGGAGGTTGATCTTAGGCCGTTGAGCTTGCCAGGGAAGCTGTTATTCTACTGAGCCATCCTCTCAGCCCCTAAATTCTTAACTGGTGAAAAAAACTCAGTTTCAAAGTGACAGAATTGGTATTGAGTTGAACACAGATGGGAGAAAAAAACAATTCTAAATTAAAGTTAATTGATGATAGAGGAGAATTAGTTACCATATACTTACCTATATATACTTTCATCCATAGTATAATTACAAAGGAAGGGAAATTACAAGTGTATTTGAAAGTAAATAACACATTTGAAACACTGGGCTTTCCTCTGAAAGAACTCATTATTGTGGGCTGTGTTTCACTAAAACCAAAACAATATCTCAGGAAAATCCAACAGAGTATTGAGGAAAAATTGGGCATGTTTCAGCTTTTAATTCTTTTATTGAGGAATAAGACAAATTTTAAGCATTATGATTTGTTAACAAAACAAGTATGTAACTAGTTTATCAATATAGCTTGAAGATTCCATCTATATATATTTCATTTCTAAGAATTTGCTTTCTTTCCTTCTTTGCTTGTTCTTCTTAAAAATCCAACTAGGGAAAGATGCTAGGTTAATTATAATATTTATAGGTTGGAACTCTTAAATAGTAATTTTCCCTTTTACCTCTCAGCTTCTCTAATCTTTTATTCTTCTCCCTGTAATTAAATTCATCTTAAGCTATTATTCTCCTTATAATTTGCTTCTATTTCTGTTCAGCTTTTAATTTTTGGTTTCTTCTGGTGTCCCTTGTTCTATTTGTCATCATTTCAGTCAAATAATTTATGCTTGTTAGTTTATTACTTGACTAGAAATAAAGAAAATATTTTTATCCCACCAGTGGATAAAATCAAATGTAGTATTTATCAGTTTCATTAGTTTTCCAGGTGTGGAGCCCCTGTTATTATTAAAATATACATTCTTCATCTAAAAGTAAAGAAATAAAATATATTTTCAAAACCAAAGGAGCTTATAATCCCAATTAGGACTGT